GTGCTCCTTGTGTTCCTGGTCCAAGGTTTAGGGTTTAGGGATTAGGGGTTTAGGGGTTCAGGATTTAAGGTCTAGGGGTGAGGGTTTAGGGGTTTAAGGTGGTTTCCGGTTTACGGTTTAGTGTCGGTACTGCCATAAGTGGCATCTTTGTGTATTAGTCTGGCCATTCCTTTTACATCCCTTGTAGCGTTTGAAGCGGAGTGGTCCAAATGGTGGGTATGAAAAACGAAGGCTTGCTTGGTAACTAGCTCGAGCCAGTATTTGGCTGGGTGCCCTCTGGATTTGGACTTTGAGAATTTAATTCTGTCCGTTTAGCCTGGGGAAAAAACTACATGGTGTAAAGGTCGATTAGGCGGAGTGGTCATGGCTTTTGCTAAGAGCTTAAACTGTTGTGAAAGAATTTGTTGAGAGGGCAAAGTGGGCTCGTGGGCTGCTTTCCAGACGGTTAGGGTTTAGGGTTTACCTAGAACTTCCGATGACATGTTTATTTCTGTGCTTCAGAATTTTTGTTCGTGACTCTGGCATCTACCTAAAAACGCGTGGGATTGAAATTTCATCTCGTGACGGGTTTAGCTTCTTGGGGTAAGAGTGAAGGGTTGCAACAATGAAATGCCTTGGCAACCCAGATGCTTAAGGTAATATCCCCCAGCTAAACTCCAAAAAACACCCTCCGGATCGCGAGCTGCACCTCTTCGGACAGAGGATGCTGGGAGCCCAGCTTTTTTCCATCTAGCCAAATTCACGGGCCCAAAGTCTCTGGTACAGAAGGAGGGAAACACGCATGGTCCTGATGGCTGCCGTAACTGTAGCTGTCCTTCTGCTGATACGAGCAACCTTTCCAATAAAGTCTTCATCCTGCCAACATTGCATACCTAAGATGTTCGGGGATTGTGCTCAAAGAAAAGTATTTCAGAGTTTGGTTATCATCAGCGCCCACACGAGCAAAAGGCTTTAGAATCATAATGCAAGCTTCATCTCGGGTTCCATATCATCGGGAGTTCCATATCGACTTGAATTTGGAGATCCCGCCTTGTAGGCTCCAGAAAACGCAGAAAAATGCAATACGATTATGTTGTACAGAATAGAAAAGTATCATCAAGATCTTGCCTAGCTACAGGATGTGCAGCTGCATGTGCACTTTCGGCTTTACCTTGTAGAGGCACCATCGACGCTCATGTGTATGGAAAGCAAGTGACCCGGCACCTTCCTCAGTCTTTTAAAAGTTCAAGCTATCCCTGAACAATCTTAGCAAAATCTTCTAGACTGATATCTGCATCCAAATCACCATCATAGACCAGCCATGCTGTACTATCCTTCTGGCCTCTTGCAGGGGTATCCACATAGCATGCTGCGATAGGCCCTTGAAGAACGCATTCGTATTCTGGAATGTCCATTGGAGAAGCTCGTAAAGACCTCTATCTCCAGCAGCCTTAGTTACAGCCAAGCCCGTAACAACATGGGTAGAATTGATGGACCATATATAACAAACAAATACAAACTCACTAGACTTGGAAAACTAATCAGTTAAGTATCCACCCTTTCACGTCCCCCCGGCCTGGTAAGTTCATCACCCAACCATTGGCAAAGCAAGACAGTGTCCCACCCTTTGCCTGCCCCCATGGGAAAATTCTGCAACCTTAGCTGATAATAAAAAGTTTCCGATAGATTTTTTACTAATCGATCCATATCCAACACAACAAACCTTTAAACAACTGCTCCACTCAGGTGGGGCGCGTCTTCATCTTAAACTTCAAGAGCGTGAACGTATCGAGGCTGGATGATTTTCCATGATCCCGGCACCATTGTACGAAACGATCATACAAGACATCTAGTTTATCCTGCGTAGACCTTCCTGGTACCACAGATAGCCTTGCAAGTAAGATGATTGACGAAGTTGTTAAAGTAGAGCCAACGCCTTGAATAGCAAAAGTATGCGCGGGGTCCGTTCGGATTCTCCAAGGATCATCACCTCCTGGGATCTGCCGTAGAGGACTGCATAGATTCTTCCAGGGCTCTTCAGCAGGATCATCTCTAGACCAAGTACGGATCGCGGAAGTAGCAGAACAGTTGTACCAGTCCTGCAGAATTGAATGTAAATGAAATCGCCATGGCAAAGTACTGTGACTATTCTTTATATAATACAAAAGTGTTTGCATGAAGTCCTCCTGCTCACACATATGGCAGATTCTGGTTGAACTGAAGCCCGTCTCCAAGCAGAAAGCTTTCCGGAGCCACACCCAGTCTCCTTTGCAACCCAACCATGCCATGCGAAAGTGATACTCTTCACCTTCATGAACAACCTTAGAGAAGGGCGCAAGCTGCAGGACTTCTTATTATAGAGCTAAGCTTTGCGTGAGACCACATGGTGCATAGGAGGCGCACTCAAACCATTTGAAAAGAGCGATTTGCAATCCTCAGCAAGAGTCTCCAGCAACCGAAAAATGGTTGCATCACCATTGTAACAACGGGCAGGAATGAGGGTGTACAGAAGCCGCGAGCAGAACGAATGCCTTGGGATTTAATATGTCTAAACCAACAGGATGCTATTGTACAGGTTCCAGGCAGAAAAATAATGGGTTTACTTACCATGAAATGAAAAGATATTTCTGACTTGGCACCCACTCTCGTTGAGCCTCTCCTTCCCAAAGTGACTGAAGAGCCCCTGGAAGCTAAGCACCATCACAGGCTGTTTCTGGCGGCCTCTGCCCTCGTCTCCGTGCAGGAAGTACGGAAGGGTGCATGCCCGGTTTAGATTTTCAGTAAAGATTGGATGGGATGGGTCCACTTTTTCATATAAATCCCAAAACTCCTGAAGGTCCATTTGCCACCTTTGCCTTTGGGAGATATGGTGTCCTTGCAAAAGTAAAGACCCTCCTTGCTTCTCCATGATGTAGCGCAGCCAGCTAGAGAGTGGGATGATTGGCCAGGGAATGGTTTTAATCTTTCGGGAACGGGCGTGTCGGATGCTAATGTGCGAATACTTGATCTCCACTTGCAGCGTGAATCTGCTATGGCTCAGAAGCCTATGAAGATTTCTGCAGATGTTCGCATCCGAAGAGTTTGCGCATTTGGCCAGCTGTTCTAAAACATGGTCACGGACATCTGTCAGGGCCCAAAACAAAAACAACTAGACTACCCTTGACAAAATAAAAACAACTAGACTACCCTTGAAGCAACTTTGGGACTAGAGGCCTCTTCTCACTAACTTCTTGCTGACTTTCTTCGCTAGCCGGCAAGTTCGCGCGGCCGAATCAGCCTAGGCTTCTAAAGGGTTTGCAAATACTGCAGGGCTTGAACGGATTGGATTGTTGTAAGATAACACAGATTCATAGAGTAATAATATTAGTACAATTCAAAAACAAAGATGGTAGTAATACATATACGATTTGGGCTAAACAAGTTGCAGACCACCCGAAAAAAGATAAAACCAAAACACAACACACTACGTTAACCAATCGTCTGACCCTAGGTATATAAGCTACAAATTGGTAATCCCCAGCCTACTACAACAATGCGTTCGATTGCCTACACAAAAGATTTTCGGACTTGACAAATATTACCCTGGAGTTCTTGGAACTTTCAGAATCAGTTATACATTTATAGGAAGTTACCCCAATGAAATAAAAAGCAGTCCTACTTTGAAAGTCTAGGACCCCGGTTGCCAAGCCCAGCAGGAGCTCTTCAACGAATCCTTCAGCAGATTCATCGTCATCATCAGGACCTTGGCCGGCTGAACAAGTTCAAAGGTTGAGGGTATAGGACGTAGGGCTTTACTAGCGTCAAGTGGAAGCAAGTAAGTTCATGGCAGTCGTCGAAACATTCAACATCATAGCCTGCACTCAGGGGTGTTAGCAGACAAATTTTTCTCAGACCGTTTACGCAAGTATGAGAGCAGCATGCGAAAAGGGCAGAAAACTTTTTTCCTGGCGCTTTCCCAACAGTGCCAAATCGAATTTGATGTTCCCAGCTTGCTTCGTGCTGTCATAACAACACACAGACTGATCATGAAATGCTTCTTCTCGCGATTATCATCTAGGCAAGTTTAGAAATCCATCGCTTGCAATCATCATCAGTCATCGCGAGCTTTCTTGTTCTTGGTCTTGGCGGCAGCTTTGCTAGCCTTTGGCTTTGCGGCATTTGGGGCGCTTTTCGCCTTTGCCTTGGCCTTCCCTTTTGGTGCAGAGGATGGCGAGGATCCTCCGGAAGTCTTGCCAATAGTCCTTAGTCGGTTGCACTTTTCTAGTTTGGCCGCACTGGGCTAAGGATTCGCAAAACCATATAATGTCAGCATGGGGTCTTCGCGCGAACTACAAAGTTGTTGAGGGCAAGGTCCGACTTGGTGCAATCGATGTAGATGCTCAGAGCATCTTTTTTGAACCTTCAACAAGATCATAACCTCAATGATTTTCTCGCATGCCCTTGAGAGATTATGCTTGCAGGAAACAGAATCCTGCCTCTGGATCTCGTCATCATCACGAGAGCAGGCTGCCGAGGCCTGCAGATTCACAAGCCTCTTGTAGTTGTCGTTCATGTCCTTCAAGCACTTGCCCACATTGCTCCCAAGCCTGAGAGATACGTGTGTCTGAGCTCAAGACGACAATCTCACATCCACACGAAACAGGGTCATCAATTATACTTGGGATAAGGGGCTCCACGGCCTTGTTGGATGGCTTGCCGCCATGACTTTTCTGGAGTTTCTCCTATCACATGGAAATTGATTGGCTGCACAGGTTTCTGGCTTCTTCTTTTCACCCATCCTCAAGACATAGAATGACTTTGGGGAATTAGGCTGATATATAGGACCGATAGGCATCTTTGCTCCTGCGTAGCCTCCGCATTATCGATCTTCTTCCCCAGGACAGCAATGTAGGATGGCAGCAGTGACAATGGGGAGGTGTTCTGCTGCAGGGAAGGGAAACAAAGCCTGAGTACAGGGAATGAAGCTTACAGGGAATATTTACACATGTAGGAAGATGCAGCAGCTCACAACTTGATGTAGCCCGAGCTTCTTGAAGGATGCGCCAGCCTGCGCGGTAGCTTCAGCATCGTTGGTCTGTTCAGCCTTCCCTGCATCGTCATTGAAGAAGCTTTCGTTCTGGGCATCCAACAGGGAACACTCAGGGTCCTAAGTTCCAAGCAAAACATGAAGAGGCAATGATGGGCAGAAGAGCAATGAAGCAGTCCAGTTCATGTAGCTGAGGCACATCCATACTGAACGAGCTCTCGAAGCTAACCCTGTTCCCCGATTCCTTTACCTTCGTCCAATCGAACTCATAAGGAATATCAGCTTCCTCAGCCCCATGAATCACCGATTTCCTCACCAATCCTCGCGGCCTTGCCCACTCGAAGGCGTGATCGGCCATCGCCCTTGCAGAGAAATTCAGGGGTGGAGGCGCAATTTTGGGCAGGAGTTTTCGCAGGGTTTCTGGATAATCTTCATGCAGCTGAGAAACTTTGTGTAATGCCTTTCCTGCATCAACCGCTCTTTGGTACAATATCCGCCACCCTCTTTCTCGACCTTCTTTTGCTCGTACCAGCGCTGAAGTACCCCCTCTACCTTCTTGAAATCCCCGTGCTCGAGCAGGAGCTTGCGAAGTTGCTCTCCTAAGCCATAGAGATTCTGTGCATATAAGATGACTGTGGGATTTTCTATTGCTGCCGGCTTTGCATATCAAGAACATGATCTAAAGAACAGGATTAATCTAGGTCATGCTAAGGAGGGCAGGCAATACTGATAGAACACGAACGACCGTAAAGTATTCTGCAATTCTGTGGGCGGTTGGGTGTTGATTGATATTGGTAAGGCTCGCCCATCCGTGGTTTTGCCCATCTCCAAAATCCTGGGACTGCAGTTGATCTCACCCTTGGAGTTCGGCGTAAAGTGCCGCCGCACCCTTAATCGAAATGCCCAGAATGAAGGTTTACATATGCAGACAGCAAGCAGCAAACAACAACCAAAACCGAGACCAAGTGACCTCCAGTAGCCCTCCGGCTTGGGAGCAGTCACTGCTTTCTTGGGTTGGCGCATCTCTTTGGGTCCGAACAATTGCCTTTTCACATCCACTGAGCCAGGGCTTCTAGATGCACTTGCGGGAGTGCAGGTTCGGGGTCTTTTCTTGGCCTTGGACTTGGGGGTTGCTGAGCCGCGGGCCTCGGGACTATCATCAATTTCTATAGGGCGTTCCGGGGGCGTTGGGGCAACACTGGAAAGCTTGCCCGGGGTCTTCTCAATAACAGTGGGCGTCGCAGGAATGACATCATCATCATCATCCTTCCAGCATTTAGAGGATTGCTGAAGCATCTCCTGTGTCTGTGAGAGTCGTGGCTTCGCATCTTCCAGGGTTTGCTTGTCATTTCCGGGCACGTGCTCACCACTGGATGACGCCATTGAAGGGGCACCTAGGGGATAGGAAAGTCTTGCATCCCAACCATTTATCTTTATCTTTTCTACTTTGCAGAAAGCAATCTTGGGTTGACTGATTAGTGGCCCACGAAACCTTGCTAGATAGAAGTGAAAGAGGGACACCTGCATGATAACTTATAACAATGAAGAAGAACCCTGGAGCTTGCCTGGTATCATGCTTGGCACCGGCTTCGCACTCTCTTTTGCTAGCTGCTTCTGAAGAGCTGCAATATTGGCTTGCGCAGCCTCAACCAGAAAGAGTTGTAGATTGAGTAGGCTTATATAGAACAACAAACACAGAAGACATTACACATGTTTCGCAGACATTTTGCGGACTAGGTTCCAAAATCTCATCATCAAGATCTTCGTCAGCGCATGAAGCAGCCGACATGTCAGACCAGGATCTTGCTACCATTGCAAGACCGTCGTGTAAAGTAGCTAGGGAGGCCATCTTACCAAAAAACTATGAGGAGGAAGCAGAGAAGACACCGCACAGTGGAAGCAGCAACGAAAAACCTACATGGTCATCACAGACAAGCAAGACATTCTTTTTCTCGGGGAACGAAGACATCAGCAGTCTCTCCAAGAAGATCCGCAAAAGCTCCTTAGCAAGCAGATGGAAGCCACAACAAAAGCGCGCAACTTTCAAAAAGTGCGTGTGACATGCGAAAAACGCACGTGACAAAACCCTTCACATACGGATTTTCAAATTGCGCGAGAGTTGCGGG